CGAATAGCATGTGTCAAGCTCTTGATGCTTGTGCTGGGATGTATCATACTAGTTATACCAAACCCAACTAAATACTGATTCGGTGGATTAGTGCAGTGCCTGTCAGCTTATGACAACTCTGATTTGTTGGTTAGCACTCGCTTACTCGGAAATCAAGCCACTATTCCACATGAGTCAACGGTTTGTCGTGGCAGCTATCTCTCAAGATTCCTTTGGTACAATCATATCTTGTACCAGGCTAACGACCAAACTCCCAGTTATAACAAAACTCTACACAGTGGGCAGTAGTCTAAATCACGGATAATGGCCAAAACCCAAGACCATGTCTTCACAGACAGAGGGGGCGTTATCGAAAACCGACACCTAGTCCACGCAGCAATAGTGGACGCCCAAGGCAAACTGCTGTACAGCGTCGGCGACCCTTCACGGATAACGCTAGTTCGCTCGGCAGCCAAACCAGCGCAAGCCCTAGCCGTCCTCGAGACGGGAGCCCCCAAGCAATTCGGCTTCGACGACGCCGACCTGGCACTGATGTGCGCATCCCACAACGGTGAAGCCAGACACATATCGCGGGCGTTTGCCATGCTGGCGAAAGTCGACGCCCGGGAACAGGATCTTCGATGTGGCGGCCACGCCGCCCTGTCGGCGTCGGTCAACCGAGCGTGGATCAAGAGCGACTACACCCCTACCGAGATATGCAACAACTGCTCTGGTAAGCATGTTGGCATGCTGGGCGGGTCGAAAGCCATCGGAGCTGCAATCGCAGACTACCACCTGCCTACTCACCCCATCCAACTCCGAGTGAAGCGCGTCGTCGAGGACCTGTGCGGCCTGGAGGCCGACAGCTGTCAATGGGGCATCGACGGCTGCAATCTCCCAGCCCCGGCGTTCCCCCTCCACTACCTGGGCAAGATGTATGCCGCTCTTTCTGCGGCGGCAGATTCCATGGCTGTCGACTGCTCCGCTTCCGCGCGAGAACGCGGTCTATCCCGAATCTATCACGCCATGACGCAATACCCAGAGCTCGTCGGCGGCGAAGGGCGATTCTGCACAGCCCTCATGCAGGCGTTCGGGGGTTCTCTCGTCGGCAAAGTAGGGGCAGATGGGTGCTACGGGATAGGTATCCGGGCGTCAGAGGCGACGGACCGAGTTGGTGCCGCTGGTGCGATCGGCATCGCTGTCAAAATCGAAGACGGCAATCTTGAGATTCTCTATGCGGCTGTAATGGAGATCCTCGAGCAGCTGCAGATAGGGACCCGAGATGCCCGAGGCAGACTGGCAGACTTTCATCGTCCCGTCATTACCAACTCTGCTGGTGTCGTCACAGGACATACATCTCATGAGGTTATAGTGAGACCGGCAATGGCCTTGTAGTATGAGTTGTCTAAACTAAAGATAAGATCAAGGCTCATATACCTCGATACAGCCCTAGTCTATACAAACAAACATCAATACCCATGACTACAGCATTTCTAACAACCATAGCTCTGCTATAATAAGTACAGAACACCGATAAAATCCACACATTTTGAGAAATAAATCATCAAATAGATGCAAGAAGAGATAAAAAAAAGGCCTGTTATCCAATCTCAAGTATTACGAGAGAAAAACAAAAGAAACATTCGTGCATCATCCGTGAATCGAACACGGGCCTCATCGATGGCAACGATGAATTCTACCACTAGACCAATGATGCTTTCTTGATTAAGAGGTCCCCTTATAAATATGAGATTGCAACGGTTCAATTCCAATTGTCTTAAGGTACTACATCGTTTAAGCTAGACGAGACTAATAATTTCCACATCCATTACAAAACCGATTCCATCAACCTTGTTCTTGTCGGTAGAAAGAACAAACCAAGTTCCACAAACTGAGATCAGCCAGTCTTGACCGGAGTCTCCTCAACCGGGACAGACGTGTCGTTCTCATCACCAGGAGCTGAGACCTTGAGGTTGCCCTGGACAATCTCCTGTTCGAGGTCGTCTAGTCTGCTCTTCCTCTCAAGCTTCCGCCAGGCGGGTACTCCGCTGTTGAAGACGTCGTCCATCTCCTCCAGTGTGTAACCCTTGGTCTCGGGGGCGGTCAAGAACATGTGAACGAACGCTGCGGTGTTGAAAGCGGCGAACTATGAAGGCAAGAGAGGTTAGCGCTCGTCTTAGGATCCACATAGGCCAGCCCCGTCCTAGAGCAGAGGAAACTTACAATCATGTACATCTTCCAGTTGATAGACCACAGCAAAGCCGGGACAAATAGCGCCAGCAGACAATTCCAGGTCCAGTTGGACGCCGTCGCCAGCGAGACGGCCTTGGCGCGAACCTTAGACGGGTAAATCTCGGCCGGGTATGTCCAGCTGGTGGGACCGACTGTGGTAGAAAAGGAACACACGAAGAGATAAGAAAGGGCGATAATGGCTTTTCCGACAGAGGGATGTGCGGCCACGGTCCAGGAGATTGCGTCAAGTTTCGGATCCGTGCCGGGATTCGGTGCGCCGAATCCAGCCTGCAAACCACCTTCGATGTAGAGGAAGATGGCCTGGCAGGCGAATCCAATCAAAAGAGCCTTGCGACGCCCAAATTTGTCCAGATAGATGATCGCGGGCAGTGTGAGTGCCGTGTTCAGGATGTATTGAATCGATGCCGTCAAGAGAGGCGATCCGGTTCCGGTACTCTGCATGATATATACTGGCCAGAAATCAGCTTGCTGGCTCACTTGCGATGAAGTCTTGTTTAATTATGAGAGGGGTACGGTAGAGGAGATGCTCACCAATGTAGTACATCATGACGTTCATGCCACAGAGTTGGGACCACATCTGCAGGCTAATACCGAGGATAACACGCTTGAACATTCGTGGTTCAAGGAGGACTTGGTAGCTGGAGTTCGCTTGTTCGCGTTCGATTCTCAGGGCTTCCTCAATCTCGCGGTACTCGGCAAGGACTTTGGGGTGGTTGATATCGCCGTTTCCGTGGAGCCTAGCGAGGACCTGGATGGCCTCTTCCCAACGGTCTTTGCTTGCCAGCCAACGGGGGGACTTGGGGAAGAAGAAGAGACCGACAAAGAGGATGACGCCCGGCACGATCTGAATGCCCCAGGGAATGCGGAACGCGGCGGTGCTTTGGGTAGGGTTATCCGGGCCGCCATCGATGTTGCTGGCTCCATATTGCTGGATTTGTGTCAGTGACCGCCACAATCGGTGTGCAACTCTGCAGGAGTAAACTGACAATAAAGTATTGGATCAAGATACCCCAGGTAATAGCCCACTGCTGTAGAGAGATGACTCGGCCTCGGATCTCCTTGGGCGCAACTTCAGCCTGGTAGACTGGCACCATGGCCGATGAGATGCCAACACAGATACCCGCAATGACACGGCCGACGACCAGGAGGGCTATGCCATTAGAGGCGGCCATGAAGCTATTTCTATCAGTATATAGTGACTGGCTGTAGTTCACGCTCGGTGACCTTACATAGAACCCAGGATCCAAAGAATCGTGGACATTTGAATGGTAAGGACACGCGAGTAACGATCGGCAAAGAAACTCGAAACCAGAGCACCGGCAAGCGAGCCGAATGGCATCGCACAGGTGATAGCACCCTAGGCTTGTCAACGCAAGGTTCCCGTTTAAGATATAATTCTGCCGACTGACCTGTTTGTACTGGCCGGAACCGACTTGGAAATAGTTCGTGTAGGCGTTGGTGCCCAGCACACCTGCTTCTGTAAGCTTGGACTGACAGGCTCGGCTCGTCACCACTTACCACTCATCGACGAGATATCGAAGCCGAAGAGCCCACCACCTGAGATCCATTAGTCACGATGCGGTCATATTCTTCCTACTCGACAAGCTCTCTTACCCAGGGTGATGAAGCTACACAGGAAATAGACATTGTAGATCGTCTTCATGATGTCGAAGATCGTTGGGAGATTATTCCACAGGTCCCATCGATCGCGTTAACCACAACTCGCAAGATAATGACAGAAGTCAAAAAGTGAAAAAGGTGGGAAAAGGGAAAGAAAAAAAAGGAAGAAAGAAGCTCCAGGGGCAGCCGCGGCAGTCGCAGCCGCAGTTTAAATAGTACTAGCAAACCTATTCACTACCCTCACGAACCCTGGTTGCAAGCAAGCAATGACACATGAATGTGTAGTATTCACCAAGATCAGTGCAGTCTGCTGATTTCATTCCCACCATATCCCCACCAGTGACAGTGAGATAGGGGAATAGAGTTCAGCTTGAGACTGGACAAAGGCTTGGGTGACACGACGTGAGCAGGCGCCACCAACTTCCAAATGTCTTGGTCTCCTTTCTGATTAGGTCTAAAGTGTTTTTGGGTCACTGTCCATCATCTGTTTCTGGAGAGAATGCCATTGCTCCGCATCCTCCGGAGCAGGTCCCCGTAGCAAGATTGGCTTACAGTCAAGCCTTCCACCCCTCTTACCACCACAGCCCACAGGCTCCACGTGGGGGGGGGGGGGGGGGCAATTCACGAAGCACATACCATTGACAGTCACCAGCTAACTGAGACTAGTCTTTTCGTGTCGGAAAATAAATCACGCTACCTGCGCAATCAATCGATGCATGGTTAGCAGCAAGTCCATCCCGGTCAGTTTGTAGAGGGATTAAATCCCCCGTGTTTGTAGTCGACCACACCCCGCATCCTGATTGGAAGTCATTTGATGTAGAACGGGAATCTGCAGTGGGGCCCGAGACCCTTGAAATCAGGTCCTCGCACGGAGGAGTACCAACTTCTGGGATCTGGGGAAAGAGGGGGACGAGAGAGGGAGAGAGGGGGCTTCGCCAGTCACGTGGTTCACTATTGACAACAAAGGCTACCTTTCCATCCAATTGCCACCAACCTAGCATAAAGACCCCAGAAAAATCCGTGCGAGTCAGAGGAGCAGAGAGCTAGCGCCATAAATATACAAAGGTTGACCGCCAAGGGTCTCCAGATAGCCATGGCGGCGGTTCCCCACCAATCCCCTGTTCGCGTGTACGCCAACGGCTAAGAGTGGCGTCGCGATACGACAATTTTGCCTTGGTCCAGGCTGGAAACCGCCTAGTATTGTCGCATCGTGGAGGTCAAGCAGCAAAGCCTTCAGTTGGCGTTGGCGACCGACCAGTCTTTTGTCGAGTCCACGAGATACCGTTACTGTTACATTTGGGAGTGTCCTACCCTGATGGACGAGTCCCACCAATACAATGCGATGCAGGCCGATTGATCCAACGTCGTTCCGCTCTATCATGACGCCTAGAAAATTGCCCTCGAGGATTTGGTGTTGCAAGAGATTTAGCCGACTGAAACAGTCCGAGTCAGGTGCTACAGCATCCACCTGATGCGACGGACGGGGTAGGCTCAGCAAAGGGGCAGCTCGCGCCCATGTGGTTGTCAGGGCTGTCAGGGTAAATTCTGGATACTTCGATCATTATCGAGTACTCTAGAGTATACGAATTGCAAGAAGTCAACCCCATAGTCCATGGCCATTAGCCGAGGTTGCCTAAAGGACAGGCATGGCAGAATTTGCATATGGTGACCCTCCCGCGATATACCTTTATATATTGCCCCACTCCTCCTGTCTTGGGAGAAAGTAGAACCAGCGCAACCTAAACAAATAGAAAAAATAGATACATACAAAGCAATTCCTTGTGCTATGTCTCAGAACTCATCGATACTTTTGCTCTCGTTTGCCTCGAAGCGACCGATCGGTCACGTGCGCATAAACCGAGGTTGATGTCTCCGTCCAGACCAACATGGAATATCACTTAGGGTCAGGCTCTTGAGGATGGAGATCTTTTCCACTGTACAACCTGCTATGATCCGGGTAGACGCTTGAACTATCGAGTACGAATCGAGTCCACAGTACATTCGACGATCAGGGACAGGTGTCCACCACAGGATCTGCGGTGGAGATGGGGCGCATTGATTGGTCGCTCGGTTAACCGATTCCCCAGGTTGGAAGTTGGAGTTCTTCAGCTGGAATTGAATCTCCACTTCTCATCGTAATGAACAATCATCGAATGATACTGTCGGCTCGTGTGCAAGATGTCCACCAAAGATGTCGAAATATCCTCTTCGGAAAAAAAACGCATACGCGACAGACGCGCCCAGAAGGTCATGCGCGACAAGAGAGAGTCGCGCATCAAAGCACTAGAGAATCGCGTTGCATTCTGCGAGCGACATCACCCACCAGAGGGGTATGAGCATCTCACGACAACAATCGATAGGCTACGCCAAGAAAACGAACTTCTCCGGAGTCGGCAGAACCAACTGCAACAAGTCTTCCTATCGTGGGGAGCCGACTACAAGCCACCCACACCGTCAGCCTCATCCACCCCGGCTACGGACCCCACTATCTCCCAAGACTCCCTGTTCACATACCAACCAGGGAGCGAACTAGGGGCAGCGTACACTATCCCTTTTGCTGGCGGGGCGCCATTTCTGCCAAAGAACATCGCAGTAACTGCATCCCGACTCCCCAACACGCAGCCTCGGGATGTCGAACAATCAGATATAATGATCGGAGCTTCACCCCCGACTACTACGTCCCAGTCCATCCACCTACCCACCCTACCGCACATTACCTCCTCGCAGCCTGTTTCAAACAGCGTCCCAACATGGTGCCTAACGCCTATGAACGAATACGGCCACAACGCCTCCCTCATCCCCGCCACGGTGCCGTGGCTTGCGCACCCCGAACTGATCGCAGCGTGTCCCCTCGCACCATCACCCCTGGATCTCCTGCACGGAACACGGCGGAATTTCCTAGCAGACCAGATCCACAGCAGTCTCCGACGACACCGCCTCCGCGATCCAGAGTACCTAGCATCCGGCTGGATGCTATACACCTACAGCAAATGGCGCGTCTCGCCCGGCCCAGCCACCTTTGAGCGCCTACCCATTTGCTTGCGTCCCGTAATGGCTCAGATTCAGAAGGGCCATCCCAGCGCGCTGGACTTCATCAAGTGGCCGCAGATGCGGATCAACATGATCGAGAACTGGACCAAATACGACCTCGTCGAACTGATAGGGTACTTGTCGTGTTGCGTCAAGCTGCGGTGGGCGTGGGGCGAAGACATTTTGGAACGAGACAGCGAAGACAACTTGCACATGCGACGGGAGTACTTGGAGACTTTTACGCGCGAGAGCGGATGGGGGTTGACGTCGGAGTTTATTGACAAGTATCCTGAGCTGCTGGAGGGGATGGATGTTGAGGCCATGCGCTTCCATATAGATTTGATGTAGATGCTGGTCATCTACAGACGAGAAAACTAGTGAAAAGCAGTTAAGCTTGTCGGCCCTACAATATCCGTGGTCTCGGTGTTCCATTGGAGCGGAATCGTCCGGCTTGTTACGGCAGCCCCAACTGGCGTCAGGGACAGCCACGGCCGAGTCATTACTTTCTCGAAGTCTGCTAGACCTAGTTCTGGCGTCGTGTGAACAAGATACCTTGCCTAATTGCAACGGGGTAGGTCCACCAATCCCTTACAAACGGGCGCCGTCGCGGTGGTCAGGATCGCGACAGCCTTACTGACGGACGACACTAGGCGTATGCAAATATTGCTTCTTCATCTGTAAAATGATCTACAACATCACAGGATACTGATATAGAACGGCCAATGAGAATAAGACCATCTACGCGGTCATGGCCATTCTTTCCCTCAAACCTCCGCAAAATGACATCAGATGCTCCATGACTCGGCCACTCCGGCCGGGCCAGTGAAAGGAGAACGCCATGATAACTTTCCGCAAGATCATTGTAAAAATTTGATCACATCTTGAAAATGATATTCAAAACGGACAATACCAGACCCGGTAGAGCCATACATACCCCAAGCCCTATCCGCATGAAGGAAATTATAACCTTGTTATTATAATGTGATTAGCTTAGCAAAAGGTTGAACCCAACGAGCAAATCAGGAACCGCCCAATGTGTCAAAACAAAATACGAATTTAATACACAGAAAATTCTATTTGAACCTAGTAAACGACGTGCATCACCAGCATGCAAGGGGCGTGCAATATATCTCGCGTTATCCGTCCTTCCCTGACGGGTGCCGGTCTCAGTCCCTTGCTTGCTATCGATGTAGCTTCATTTACAAGGGCAAGGATGGCCAGACCAGGATAGACGGAGTAGCGGTCTACTGAAGCCATTCTGGTAAAAGTAATGTATAGATATGCAGAAATGCTATAAAGGGTATTGCATGAATATATACAAGAGAAAGCAACGTTTCGACCAAGAAACCCCTTTTTGTATACCAGTCCCCCCAATGCTATAATTTAGTATCTAAATCATTTGTTAGCAAGAGCCTCAAGTATTCCCACATTGGGACCAAAAGAACTCACGAAAACGTCTCCTGATGGAACCACACCTCCCTCGCCCCCTTCCGATCAGAAATAATATGCTGCTGAGCATCTGCAGCAGCAGACCCCACATCATGATGCATCGACGACGGCCCACAGACAACAACACCAACAGAGACACCGTCTTGGCCAGCAAGCGCGTCAACCTCAGTCCTCAACGCCGGTCGACCCCGGAAGAACTTGACAATAAACATAGACTCAGTCGCAGGATTCTGCTCCTGCGCGAGAACCCCCGCCTTCTCAGACGGCGATTCCATCCCAGCAGAAACATCATCCGCACCGTGCTGTTCAGGCCCAGTCTCATGGATATGCACTTCCAGCCCGACGACGTGGGATGTCTGCGAATGCCGTTCCGCAATCTCCCGCAGGGCCTCAGTGTACCAAGTGCGCATTGCCGGATCCCTCGTCGCAACGATGACTTTCATCTCCTTCTCAGCTTTGACAGACCCAGCGCGCCGCACGTAGTCTTCGATAAGCGACAGCGTAAACCCGGCGCCGACGCCCCCACCGACCACAAGACTGCGATCAAACTCCGCGATCGACCGGCTGGTGACACCACCGTATGGGCCATCCAACAGCACAGGAACGGCCTTATTCGGCTGCTGTTCAGCCAATTTCATCAGCCGACCGGTGAGACCGCCGCGCGCGCGCACGTAGAATACCAGCTGATTGACGTTTCCGGGCTGCGGCACGGAGCAGATGGTGAATGGGTGCGCGGTTAGCATGTGGACTCCGCCGGTGAGGAACCGCAGGAAGATGTGCTGGCCGGGCTGCCACTCCGTCGTGGTATTGATGGTGACTTTCAGGGTGTGATCTGTCTCGCGTGAGAGCCGCGCTTTGTGTCGCACGCCTAACTCGAGGTAGGTCTTGAACTGGGCGTAGAACCAGCAGACGGCGTAGAGGACGGCGGTCGCGATGAAGTAGTCCCATGAAGACATGCGGAAGTCGCAGTGAAAGAAGAAGAAGATCATGAAGACCATGGCTGCGAGGAAGTGGGTGCCTTTAAAGAATTCGTAGTAGCGATTTCTGGTCCGGAGGTTAGTCTCGGTTGGAATTTGCCGGGCAAGGTAGGATGCATACCGAATCCACGGGATCGACATGAATGTCAGCCATGCCTGTGCGATCAACGCCACCACGCCAGTCACCCATACACCGCCGGTGTTCCACTCCTTGGCGGTATCACCCTCTTGCTGGTGGTAGACGATGAAAGGGAAGGTGTGGATCAGCGCCAAGACGAACATGGCCCAGGCGACCCAGTTGTGCCAGATGTTAAGCTTCTCGTGAGAGACGCCTGTGAGCGCCGTGATCGGGTTGGCTTTTGCGCCAAGCACACTTCCTGGAATCAGCATCTGCTATCGACCAACACACGTTAGGGCTACACATACATGAGGAAAGGCAAGCATCCCAATGCCATGAAACCTGTGCGTGTCGCGATGGGAGGCGAGCTACCATACTTGGCATCTTTCGTGTTGGGCCAGTAGTAGGGTCGAGGGCCTAGCGTCATTGCTGTTGAAGAAGTGAGAATACATTCAAGTCTCCCAGCTCGTCAGTCATACCTAGGAAGAACACAAGCCCAGCGGCTCCAAGCAAGATCGTCCCCAGGGACCGAGTGTTCCAGCTTCCGACCCTCCAGCTTTTGTAGGACAGGACGCGGAAGACAGCTGTCAACCGGGACCAGCCCGATGTTTGCTTCAACCGCTGCGGGGCGAGGGACGAGACCAAATTCCCCAAAGCGAACAGGATAATGGCCACCATGAAGAAAGCGACCGTCGGCAAGGCAAACCGGTGATCGGCCTCGTACCAGAATACCCAGTAGGAGAATTTCAAGGCACACTGCTCTGGGGTCATCATACACATGGCCTCACGGTCCGAGTGCAGCATGACCGGTTGGTCTAGCCATGGTGTCATCGACATGGCTGAGCCTGGTGGTGAGGACGCCTAATCTGCAATAGATGTGAATCTGAAAAGACGAGAGCCAGAACCAGGCGAAGAAAAGCAAGAGGCACCCTAAGAGTTTGTCAAGTCTGTTGGAAATGTTGTGATCTCGACAGCGGGGCCGATGTGCATATGAATCTCGGTGTGGATCAATCCGCCATGAGAACATTCGAGTTACTATTATGGCATGGTGAGTGGGTCTCGCAAACAATCCGAGGCTAGACGCTCGAAGCCAGCCTGTTCAACTATAAATTGCAGGAAATCCGCTCAAATGTTCTCCCAAAATATGCTTATTTTGCAGTGTGTTCTATCGCGGTGGGCGTGAGTAAACCCTAAAAGCGCCTGGGTATTTGTGGCCGGCAACCACTCTCCCAAGCTTCTCTCCACTTTTATTTAGCTTGAGCATGTTTGAGCACATTTCAACACGCGATGAGTTCCATCAGTCAAATATGGACCAATGGTAACGCATAAATCAAGATATTGGGCGGGGCCACAGTGGAGATGGCGGCAGTAGTCTCCGCGGTGGATCGGCCACAACGTCAGAATGTCCCTGACTCCCTCAAAGCGAAGGTTTCGGGGCTCATATTATTGGAGGTTCCAGGAGTTTGCATTTTACTTAATAGGAAGTGTTCTTAGCCATTGATCTGTAGACTCAACAACGTATGATGAACTGACTGCCTTATTATATCCGGAGGGTCCCGCGCGTGTCACGGTTGCTTTCTAAACCTTTCCTTTCCCACCGTCAACATGGATCACATGGATATGACAACCACAGACATGGACTCAATGTCCAAGACGATGTCGATGCCATCCGCAACCAGCACCTCCATGGGATCCATGGGAGGCATGGGAGGAATGGATCACGGCGACAGCATGTCCAAAGACGGCATGTCGATGCCAATGTACATGTCCGAAATGGCCATGACCTTCTTCACCTCGACCTCCACCCCGCTCTACTCCAACTCCTGGGCGCCCACCAACAGGGGCCAATACGCAGGCACCTGTATCTTCCTCATCGCGCTGGCCGTGATCTTCCGCGTCCTCCTCGCTCTCCGACCGATCCTCGAAGCCCGGTACTGGTCCAACCGCCCCGCACCGCTTTCCCCGCCGTCCGAATCCTCCGTCGAAAAGGGCGTCGAGGTGAGAGAAGTTCCCGCAGAAGTCGGTGGCAGTTTCTGGGGTGATATTGGCAAGGCGTGGTCTGGGTGGAGGGTAAATTCCGCTGGGGCACGCGCGACGTACGATCTTATCGTTGCTGGTGTTGGATACTTACTGTGAGTGTGTCTTTGGGACGGCATGTGTGGGATGTCCTTCGTTTCGATCGCTAACTTCGTGGGATTGATAGGATGCTTGGGGTCATGACGATGAATGTGGGATATTTCATTTCTGTACTGGCAGGCGTCTGGTTTGCGACATTTATTCTGGGGGGGTTAGCTGCTGCCAGTCAACTCTCCCATGGATGAAGCGGTGAAGTGAGGAAGCAAGCATTGAGGCTGCGGTACATGTTAGAGTCAAGGAAGATGCTCATTCTGGATTCGCTTCATGTTTGGACATGCTGCGCCGAATGGTTGTCTTTCATGTATATAATTGATCCATCTAATCTTACGAATGATGAATTTTTTCCTCTCAAATCATGATGGAAAGTAGATGCCTCAGGCTACCTGGTATCCTCGGGATCATCAGCCAATTAGGTAAAAGTGGCCGAGTCGTCGAAGGCGCCGTGTTGGGTAAACCTGGGGCATTTTGATTGGCTGAATATCCCGGCACTAGTACCAAGCCTATACCATTTCCGTAATTAAATACGAACAGTTCCCTCGCAGTCGTAGGTTGTCCTTACAAAGTTCATGTATACTCTGGTATCACGAGGTAATATTCCATTCTTTCTGTCACTGCCTGAGGACCTTCGTGGGACGTGGAGTACATTCTTCATGAGGTCTATGGTTAGGCAGTAAACAGCTGGGCTAGTTCCATGTTTTAGTTAAGTCTTTGACTTGCATCATAGTGGCTGTCCAGTAGAAACGCTTAGGATATGTGACTCTGATATAAGTCCCTGTATACTAGGCAAGTCTCATGCTCATGGATGCCCTAACCAACCAAGACGAATAGCTTGACTCCTGTTGCGATAAGATCTTCCTGTGAGCAGTAATGTAACACCTCGAGTCCACAGGGGAACTGAGGAAAGATACCATCCCACCAGTTGCATAGGTTTATAAAACCCAACAGCGCGAAGGATTATCAGCTGAAAAAACATGGCGTGGGGCTAACATAGCCTTACTATATCAAAACAGCTAGCTCTCTCTTCATACGAACAATCCCCCAACCACAATTGGCTCTAGAGTCAAGCTAATTATGGGGAAAGTGCCTTTGCACGGGGGCTATGCTAGATTTGCCGTAATGAAGCTGCTGCACCATACCCCGCCGGGGCATGGGCAACAGTCAAACAGCGCCAAGTCTAGACAGTTTTGGCAGAGTCAAAAGTGTCTGCATAAAAGAGCGGCCAGCCCAAACTCAAGGCTGAAAAGGGAGCAACAGGAAAAAAAATCTGATACTTGTCCTAGTGCCTGTTTTCGACGACTTCTTGTCGATCCCCGATCTTGCCAGTTGAGCGCGTCAAAATGCACAACCATTTGCAATTATCGCTTGACTACCCCAACAGATTGTATGCACCGGGCGACTCGATAACTGGAACTGTCACCGGCTGGGACCCGAGTAGCAAAAGCTCGGTGTATCTCATTCTCGAAGGTCGCAGCAAGTCATATCTTCGGTTCAAAGGGAGTTTCGACTTCCGCTACAGGGATCGAAGTCCGTTATTGTACCAAGTCATCCAGTTAAAACCGGCGAGCAGCGGAAAGAGCACAGATGGGAGATTTACGCTCACAATACCAGAAACAACACAGCAAGGCCTTTCCAAAGTCACCGAATTGACAAAAAAGCACCATTACTGGACGCATTCGTGGCCCAAGAACGAAGACTTTGAGCTCGATCCCGGATACGCGTTACCGCCATCTATGATCCAGCCGAAGCGGATTAATCACGGGGCAGCGCAGGACGAATATGGCTGGGGCCACGTTCGATATACGATCACAGCGATACAGTCAGAACCAGACAAGAAAAAGAAAGCGAAGGTGACGGGCTCAGCACTGAAGGTGGTGTGGGTGACGACAGCGCGGATGTCCATAGACGCGTATGAGCAAAGGAGGGCAGAGGAGTCGGTGTGCAAGGAGCAGATATTGATGGTCGAAACGCTACGCCTTAACCCTGCTGTTGGAAACCGGAAACTATCGTTCAGGGAGTCGTTCAAAGGCGCCTTCTCAACAAAGCCCAGTCTGCATTTTTTGCCGATTATTGCCGTTCCCAAGCTAGTGGTTGCTGGAAGTGATATTACGCTGTCGGTCTGCGTGCGCGCAATGCCGATTAATTCTAAGAAGCCAGATCAGTTGGGGTACGGCTTCCCTCTTCCGCCTATTACGCTGGAGCAAATCACGTTGCGTCTTAAAGACAGCACCAGAATCCGCTGCAAGGGGAATGTGGTGACATCCGAATACTGTGGCGAGTTTGCGGACGTGGTGGTTGCTAACCAGACGTGGGAGACGAAATACGTATTCTATCCGACAGACGATAATCAAGCGTATGCGTATGAACCATGCTTGATAGACCTCAAAATCCCTGCATCTTGCACGCCGACCTTTCGGACCTGCAATTTCCGGAAAAAGTGGTATATTAAGGGTGACGCGGTGTTTAGTTGTATGTCGGAGAACCTCAAGACATCGTTCCGATGCGATGTGGATATCATCTCGAAGCCACGGCGGTGGAATGCAGTTGGCGATAACCATGGTGATATATCAGGATTACTAATGGTAGGAGAGGAGGAAGATGAAGATGTTGATGTGTTAGAAATGGCTGCGGCGATGGTGGAGGATGCAAATGTTGTCCTGGAAATCATTGATACTTTGAGCAATCTATGACATTGATGCTTGGGTTGGACGGTGGCGCAACACGATCACACAGGCTATCATCACCATGGACAAGGCTACAGCATAGTGCATATCATTATATCATACTTTTTTCTGTCAAACAAAAAGTATCAACCTTGCTCCATGGCTGCACCTGATGCTACAATAGGGTAACCCAGGTTGTGGTGGACCGTATAGACTGGTCCGTTGATGCTTATCTATTACCCATGGGTAGGACAATAATACGTAGACTTCATTATAAGCCATGTAGGCAAGGCAACGGTGTTCCATAAATCAAGGGATGTAGTTTAGATTTCTAGGTAACATAATATACTGTGAAATAACAAATAAAAATGGAACTGATAGACGAAAGTAAGTAACATGAGATATCATTCAAATAGTCTAGGTCAAAAATACTATTCCAGCTCATGCCACACCCAAACGTTAGGCTCATCATACTCAAACCGATCCTGTTTTGGATAGTACCTGAGTGGCACCAAGCCACGAGGAAGGCAAATCTCAACTAGAGAATAGCCAGTCACCAAACCCATTGCGGTATCATCTCTTAACCTTCCCAGAGCCCTCTGGAGATCCATCCCAGTCCATTCAGACCATTGGTCCATATCGCCCTGCACAGACATCGACTTCCGTGCGACTTTGACAACCTTACCTCCGAGGGAAACATGTTTCCGCAGCCAAGGATCAAAAGGTAAGCACGGCTTTCCGTTCACAATGCGCCCGCCATCGCCCGAAAGAACAGTTCCCACAGGGCCCATCGTGGGGCCGAATCCCTTCGTCCAAGATAAATAATCCGCGATATCCACAGTCGGAAAGTCTGCCTTGCGGGTGGGACGGAGTGGCACGACTAGAACCTCGAGCCCCGTCTCGCGAGCAGCTTCCTTCATACAACCGAGCATCATCTCCGCGAGGCCCTTTGACCGCCACTCGGGCAGCACAGCAATAGACAGAGCGGACAGCGCATTGGGACGATTATTGCATTTCCTGGTGGAGTCTCGAGCCTGGTCATCTGTGAAGGGTGCCGCAAGTGGAGGGAGGCCCTGTCGGACAAGACACTGCTCTACTCCCCGGGACAAGATCGTATCGTACCCTCCATCTGGTAGGGATTGCAGAAATTCAGGGTCGGAGGATAGGCCGGTGCGTCCGCCGATGGCTTCTAGCTCGGGCCAGAAGAAGGGAATGGACTGTGCGAATGCAACGAGGGTTTCGGGCTCTGCGGGGCTTTGCCGGACGATGAAGAATTGGAACTTTCTTAGCTCTTCGTGGTTGCGGGTCTTGGAGAGGTAGAAGTCATCTGTGAGGTCTCCTCTCAGAAAATTCGCCCAAATGGTGCAGAACGGGTGGCTTCTGTCGTTCCAGTCGGGCCAAAGATCTGGGCGGGATTGAGCAGTGTAGACACGGTATTCACTGTTTGTAGTCATTGTGAAGAAGGACCTGAGTACAAGAGACAGGGTATGGAAAGTCAGAAAAAAAAATCTTATTGTGCGTCAAGTGCTCCTGTACTTGTAGGCTTGCTGTGTGATTTATATTGACAGGGTATAGAGCTATAATGGGAGACGTAGAACTGGCAATTTTTTGTAGTAGTCTCTTTTCGAAGAGAGCGAAGGCATCGCTTTAACCCCTACCTCTTGAGTTAGCCCTACTTGCATAGTATACCTTCTATCGAATACAATCACTGAAGCAGATACCTCCTGAGAGGGCTCAATCTGGAATTGCCACTCTGGAAAAGTACTGAAAAAAGTAAAACAAGAACCACATGGATATTGATGAAGAAAGTGTAAAACCTGTGATTCCGCTGACAGTGCACTGTCAGCAAGTGGAACCAGAACTTGCTGAATGATGCAGTGAATGGCACAACTGCCGAGAGGGCTAACCTTGAGAGGAACATACACCGGCTCGAGATTGGTATCGGCGCTTGCAAAGTCTCTCATCGGCGATTATGTTTATCATCCCCGACAGGATTAGATATTGGTATAGCAAGACACAAACTCATCAACTTCAGCCAGCCCAAATCCGTCGGGCTTCATTCCTCGATAATATTTATGAATTTCAAAGCGCCGGCCTTTTGTATAGGTCTCATGCTGAAGCGCATTTATGATTTCATGATATGTGGGTGGCTACTATTACTGTCCCTCGAGATGATGTATGAACAAGGTAATCACGCCAGACCCCTTGGTCTGGTTACCCCGAATCTCATATAAATATTCCTGCCGTGGCATGGCTATCTTCTCTGCTCTTAACTAACGACAGAGCTTACATCCGATCTACCACCCGTTTGAACCCCATTACGCTTCTCGCAGTGCCATTCTGGCGGCCCGGAATCAACAGATCCTCAACAGAGAACCCACCCTGACAGGGTTAGAATATTGCGATAATTTGCCGCCGAGTAAATTTCTGTTTACAGAGAATATTTCGAATCTTCATCATATTATATTCAGCTGCCCCACTTTATTCACATCTGCAATAACCTATGTTTGCTGTACTACCGAAGCAATCTGCGGATGGTCTCCCACGGAAAGTATGAGATGCCTGCCTAGTCCCAGCCAAATTTGGCATAAAGATCCTGGAATGGGTCCGATAGGCATAAAATGGGGGTTTTGTTTGGTGGTTGGGCTGCGAGTTGTTTGCGATCATTGATTTTTGCTTTTCCTCAGCAGCTTAACACGTCTTCATTCGAGAGCGATTGGTGATGCGCATGAAACATTGACTCAACGTCACTGTTGCGCTTAGCAAGGGAATACTTAGCCACCTCGAAGATAAGCTTTCGTCATATACTCAGTGCATCCGGCTCTTTGGACTTTTAGATCATTTGCAACAATGAGCCCGCATCACGGGGACAAACAAACCCTGAAGAACCGAAATACATGATCGTGGCGCATTGATATAACACAGAACAATTATGTAGTTAGTTGGCCTCTACAATATATTATCTCTGACAAGTCACAGAAAATTTGTTACAGGTGCATCACTAGAGCTGGAGCCATGTGGCCCCGGCCCTGAGTTTGAAATATTCACTTGTTTAACAATATTGGCGCAGCTGAAAGTTGCTTACCCCGACCTCCGTGCTCATGTAAACCCCGCAGGTTCAGCTTGCAGGACACACGATTGTGATAGTATTCTAGAGACGCTTTAATATTAACTAGGAGCCTGATATACAGAGTACTCATTGCCAAAGCCATTTCAGCTTCCCGAAACCCACCTGGACCTGAAGAAAGCCGGATCCAAGATATATCAGCCCCGTTTTCAGCCGTGGCTTGCTGTGATAACTTTCTATTTCGACGGCTGACGATGGTTTTAATTTAAGCTAGGGTTTGCATTGGGTCCTTGACGAAAATCTTCTTTGAAGTGAGTTTTAACAGGTACGGAAGAGGTACCGTACTCGAAGTTCCTTCACAAATACTGAATGTGGCCTTTAACTCTCCGGCTGAGGTGTTCCATGGTAGAGCCAAAAGGGGTGATGGGCATCAATCTTTGATGTAAGGAACAACGATCGACAAATATGCAAATCTATCTCACATTCCCCTGATCCTGTTCCTAGAGTGGTTCACTTGCATCCTATCATGCAAATCATTTTATAAGTGCACACGGGCTCCTTAGTAGAATAAGTAACCTTCATATCCTTTAGGTACATTACAAACAAATAATCAGATAGATCACAAAAACATGGACCCATTGATCGACTTTCTGATACAAACACGTCTATCGAATATGGGCCAGAATGGCGTCACTATTGAGGACGACGAACCCTTTTTCGTGGCAGACTTGGGCCAAGTGATTCGCCAGCATCGTTGCTGGAAGCGTAACCTGCCAGATGTCCATCCTTTTTACGGTACGTTCCTTTTAAAGGCACCATAGATTGATCCCAACCTAACAATGAACTTCCTATAGCTGTGAAATGCAACTCCGACCCAAACCTCCTTCGACTCCTTGCCGAGCTCGGGACCGGTTTTGACTGTGCTTCTATCGAAGAGCTCCGCAGTGTTCTGGCTCTGGGCGTCGATCCCGCACGCATAATCTTCGCAAACCCGTGTAAGGCAGCTTCATCTTTGGTATTCGCACAAAGGGCGGGCGTCTCTTGGACGACGTTTGACAACCTCGACGAGCTCGACACCATCAAAAGATACCACCCCAACGCACTGCTCGCGCTTCGCATCTTTGCAAGCGACAGCGATGCGCTCATCGACCTGAGCAAGAAATATGGTGCACCGATCGATTCCACATGGCGACTTCTACAACGCGCCCAAGCACTCGGGCTTGAGGTGTCCGGAGTTAGTTTCCACGTCGGTTGGTAGCCCTATCCCATGAACATTGGAAAGCACGCGAAAGAAATATTGACCGAAGTCTATATCAGGAACGGGTGCCTCAAACCTCGCATCGTATATCAAAGCAATCCAACAAGCCAAGACAGTAGTAGAACAAGGAAAAGCCCTCGGATTCGTGATCAACGTCCTCGACATCGGCGGCGGCTTCCAAGATTCCAACTTCGAGAAATTCGTGCCCAAGCTACAAGCAGCCCTGAGAAGGGAATTTCCCACAGGGATGCGCTTCATGGCCGAGCCGGGCCGCTACTACGCGCGCAGTGCCTACACCCTTGTCTGTAAGGTCATTTCCCGGCGGCTGCAGACGGGCGCACAGCCTGAACCGGACATGCTGTACCAAAATGACGGGGTGTACGGGAGTTTCATGAACGTATTGATCGAAAAAGAGGTGTTACACCCGTCGCTGGTATCCAGTGGTTTCCATTCCTTGGAAGGAGGGAGCAAGCGACACAAGGGAAAGCGTCGCTATTCTATATGGGGCCCGACCTGCGATAGTACCGATCGTGTCGTGAAGGAGATGGACATGGAGTCTGAGGTTAAAGTGGGGGATTGGCTCAAGTATACGCATATGGGTGGTAAGTATATCGTGCGAAATTTCTTTGTAGTTCTTTTTTTCACCCCAGGAGGTAGACTGACTGAATGGCCTAGCTTATACTACGGCCACCGCTACTCAATTCAATGGGTTTCCCAGCCACCGCCATGTTACTTATCTTAACAGTGAGCTGATTGGGCATAGGAAAAGCCGAAAAAGCATGTTGGAGCATTTGTACGGCGGTTGGACGTACAAAGATGCTATTCTACCTATTCCTGTCCGCTACGACGCCAGCGATACGCAGTGACCGGATGCGATCATACACGGTTGAATCATTTATAATGGGATATTCTAAATGATTGACACACCTTCTACCATTTAGATTGCTTAAATACTATCTGACATCGGAAGGGGAAGTCGTGATTTATGTTTAGAAGGGTTGGAGTGACAACACATATCGGAATTTCACACCGGCATTTTGTCTTGTGATGTTGTGAGCTTGCACAGAACCCTTGCAACACAATGGTTATACAGTGTATTGAGAATAATGCCAAGAGAATGGATTAATCACTCTGACAGGATGGTAGAACATCAGAAATCAGATTATATAACTCAGGTTGAAGATGGTGCCCAGCAGCTTCTACACTTGGGTAGTAAACTTATCTATGACTGACAATTATGTAGAGGGCAATGTAAACCCAAAGAAAAAATTATTGCACATGAAAACAATTGAACAGCTTCTGTTGAGTTACAAACCTATAAAAGCGCACAACTATCACCATACAATAAGAGAGCTTGACATGCGACATGACACTTTTTACTATATTCCACTTTGGCATGGCAAGCCATATAGTCTCGCATCACTTCAGATATCGACCCCGTGTTTCCCAATGAATTAGCAATCTGTACCGCCTCGGAATATCAGTGTATATTCATGTCTTGCAAACACCAATGGCCACTTTACTGTGAAACCTGGGCATGGAGCATGAGATTCTGCTGTACTGGGAAGGACATGGGAGATAATTTTGTATAGGCATAGCGTTCCATTTTATGCAAATCCTAGCATTTGGGAATCCAGGAGCTCTAGGGTCCCGAATACTGCACCCCTTTCTTTATCCCTCAAGTTTGTCCCCAACTTTTTTTCCTTAGACAATGGCCGATTTTCCCTTGCTATAACGGGTCAAGGATACATGGCCTAGAAAGATGAGCAGATACCATGTCATTGACCACCGGTCTACATTGAAACCACCAGGAAAAAGGGTCTATATGGGGAAGTGGGTATGTCAAAGCTGACACAAGATACAGCAGCGCCACATACGTCCACATCTGGATTTCTTTTCAGCTATTGTAAACTGGCACAGGAATTAAAAACATTCCCTGGGATTATCGTCACACCTTCCATGCAACCTACCGCGATGAATCATTTCCACTTCTTGTACTTCTGTCAGGGAAGCCGTCCAAGCATCTGCAGTGCCACCCTTGTCCAGCTGGGCAGGTCACACTGACACGCATCTGTACACATGTTATTGAACAGACCCCTGAACTGTGCAATATCAGGCGGAGTGTGGGCAAACTGAGTGTGATTTATAAAAGCACCTATTTTCTACTCAATAATTGCCTCCGAACCACTAGCACGTCAATCTCCAGGAGTTGCAAGTCTTGCGTTTCTGTTCTGCCCTTTAACAATCCTTCTAAGACAAGCCTCTTCACCACAATGGATGTCTTGAAACTAGCAAACACGGTGTCGGAATCGGCCCAAGTCATCTCCGACTTTCTGAAGCAGCAAAACCTGAAGCTGTCGTTCAATGTGGAGGATCCCGACGTCACTGAGCTTTCAGGCCCAGGCGCCGAGCAGTTTCACGAGGCCCGAAGGCGAATTTACGATACGGCATTGACCCTTGCCGACCTGATGGCCGGTGATTTGACCATGCTCGAGACCTACAATTCAGTACGCAGCGTCAATTTTCTACCCTCCCTATTGTTCATTCCTTACTAACTTGACCGGTTTGCCCACAGGCCGACATCTCCGCAGCTGTCCGCATCGCGTCCAAGTTCCGATTTGCCCATGCCGTGCCACTCAACGGCAGCATCAGCTACGACGACCTGGCTGAATCTGTCGGGCTGAGCAAATTTACCGTCCAAAGGGTCATGTACACCCTGATGGGTGTGCACATCTTCCACCAGCCAAAGCCGAACAATGTCGCGCATACGCGCCTGTCCCAAAGACTGGCCACATACAAAGGCATAGACGCCTACCTGACCATGGGCCAAGAGTATCTGCAACGCTCGTGCTACCACATCGCGGACGCGCTGGCCAAATGGGGATCCCCCGAAGACCCTCGCAAGACCGGATTCAATATTGCTATGGATACCGACCGGGCAATTTTCGAGTATGCGGAGGACCACAAGGAGCTGCATAGCATCGTGAGCGGGAGTATGGAATATATGAGTTCTTATAAGAAGGACGGGTTGATCTCGGGATTTGACTGGGAAGGTCTGGGAGATGCTACAGTTGTTGATGTAAGTGCGTCTTTGAAATACGGC